AGGGTATAAATATAAGATTTAGGATAATAAAATAAAAGTGAGATAATTATACGATTGGATAAAAATAATAATAATTAGGTGATAAATGATAAAAATTAAGAAAAAGGGAATTTTGTATAATCAAAGAAAGATTATTGAATTAGAGAAATTTATGTTACTATGGTAACACTGTGTTATATTTAATAGCTAATTTTCATGCATCTTCCAAATTTTCTGGTGCTTGATAGCTTACTTCCATTTTTGTTGCTGATTTTAATTCATTAATAAAATAAATAACTTGATCTAGATTATCCATACCTTCAATTTGTTCAACAAGATTTTTAAACTTGATATCATATTCTTGAACTGTACCAGTTTGATAAAGTTGTTTAAGTTATCTTCTCAAATGTTGTTGATAATTTGGTGGTTGAAAAATATTGTGTAGTTCTTGAGTAAAAGTATTAAAGTCAGCAAAGATAGAATTGGTGTTATTGACATTTGCCTTCAACTTGTTGAGGTACCAGTGGAAGGCTGCATCTTCAAGTTCAGTGGATGCATAGTTTATTTTTACTTCATCATTGGTAATATTTTGAATAGCGAAGATACTTTCAATTCTCAATAACCAAATCAGAATATTCTCATTTGGTTTACCTTTGTAGATTGGAATTTTGACTGGAATTTTTGGATTGTTGTTTTTACCATTATTATTTATGATAGATATTTAGTCACTATCACTACCAGTAGCATTTTCATCTTGTTGTTGTTGTAACTATTAGAGCTGTTGATTTTGTATTTTCAATTGATTTTGATGGGATTGAATAGCATCAGTAAGATTTTGTTGTTGTTTTAACAAGGAGGCAAATCCATTTATGAATTGTTAAAATTGTTGTGAGTTCATTGTAGTATATATATTGGTGAGTGTAGAGTGTGAGTGTTTAAAGTGTGTGTATAAAGTGTGTTTGTAAAGTATGTGTGTTGTAGCTTTATAATCTTTATCCACTGCTACCAAGTTGTAAGAATACTTTCTTATGTAAAAAGTAATAAAATAAATTTATTAATTGCTGTAAATAAATTATATTAATTGAGATAGTTTTTAGTTTTAATTTTAATAAAGCTTATTTCTTTATTTATTAAATAGTGAAAAACTATAATATAAAATAGAGATATTTAAATACATAATTGAGATTTAACGAATTACAAATAAATTAATAATAAAATAGAGAGTGATTGGTTCTAAATTATTTACCTTAAAGGTAACACATCTTCAAGTTATATTGTATTTAATGAGATATGTATAAAATATAAATATTAATAAAAGATAATTAATATGAATTAAAAATAATAAAAGAAAAAAAAATGAATAAAAAGAAAGATAATTAAAAATAATGTGTATCTAAATTAATAATATAATCTACATTTTACATCTAATCTATTTAGTGAAACATTAAAAAAATTTCTAACATGTTATACAAGAAATAATAAACATAACACAAAAAATGATAGATATGATACAAGAAATTACAAGAGTATATGAAAATTATTACATTTCTTTAGACATTTTAAAGATTTTCTGTGGCAATTTGTACATAAATTAACTTAACAAAATCAAAGTAAAGTAACAAAATCTTAATTATTCAACAAAAATCAAAGTAGACTTTTAAATGTAACAGGACCTATTAATATGGCCTGGACAAAGAAAAACTCAAAATCAAAACATAAATATCAATTCAAAGAAAATTAACGGTTTATTTAGAGTAAAGAACATTCACTATTTATGACTTTGCTTCGTAAATTTGATTATAATCAAGAAAAGAAGAGTGTATTCACGAGTAATATTAGTGTTACAAGTAAGAACTTTGTTATTTTATTTGATTAATGCATGTCATTTTAGAGGCTTAAAAGCATCTCTAAAGAATGATGATGTTTATGACACAAGAAATGAAATACATTTAAATTTGGCTTACAATATGAATGTGCAAGAAACTAACTATAGAAGGATTATCATGTAGAAATTAGGAACAAAAATTATGGAATTAAAGGATTTAATATCACTATTGGCAATTTTCATAAGAAATTGATGCTTGCAAAAAAATTAATAACTTTGTGATGTAATATCTTGACACCCAGCAATCCGAACAAAAATATCGCCATTCAATTCATTTTGATTAAACAAATCAAATGGCGGGATTTTCACTTGAATCAGATTGCTGGATGTTGAGATATCGATATCATCAATTTTCTATTAGAAATTGATCGACAAAAAATTATTGAATAATGTCAAGTTAGGGTCGGATACTTATGATTCACACTGTATCACAAAGAAATTTTTTTTCTATTATTAAGTTTCGATGCGTTAATTTATACATAAAAATTTTGCCGATAACTTTCCTTCTCTTCGTTATAATAATTTACTTTATAATGTATGAGCCAAGTCGAGCAAGCAGGTCGTAAGAAAAAAATATCTGAAAAGTTGGCAAGGTAAGAAGGTAAACTAAAATACACACACGTCACAATTAGCTAATGGAAATTTAAAGCATTATTTATTTGCGAAATTTATTTCGAGTTTTGATTCAACGAATATTAACATTTACAATATAAAAAATTTAAGATCAAATTGCACATGGAAAATTATAACATGGTATTGCATTTAATGTTTTTGTTTTTATTAAGGATTAAAGCAATCAATATTATAGTATGATTAATTATATCAATAGGTGATAGAAATGGTGGTAAAACTAACGTGATATAATAGAAAAGTGATAAACTGAGATTATGCTGCCTACCTAGTTGGCTGGCAATTTTCTTCTTTGAAACGTAGGCTTAGGATCACTTTAAGCATAATATTTGCAAGTTTCCATGTGACAGTTATTTCCATTTTCACGAATAGCCTCATAATCAGCGAAACAACTAAAATACGTATAAATGAGAAATAATCTTTATATAAAATTCTCAAATGTAAATAAATACTTACAGCCAACAAAATTCGTATCCACATCTAGGCGCGCGACACTTCATATGATCACATCCCTTATATTTTTCAATATTAGCATTACATTTCGGACACTGTTTGGTCATAGAATCAATATAAACTTTTGATTTTTCTTCAATTCGTCTCTTCTGCCGATCTTTTCGTTTCATTTGCAACTTTTCTAATGCTTGTCGTAATTGTATTTGTTTTGATTTTGGTTTCGCTAGTTCATTTTCAGCAGTGGAGGTTTCATTTTGTTTTTCTTTTGATCCATGAGACTTCTTGAAAAGATTTAATAATTTTTTCTTGATGGGTTTTTTTTCACGAACATGTTCGGTTATATTGGTACATTGTGGACAGCTTAGTGAGCCATCGGGAATTGGAAGTGAATGCGTCACACATGTTTTTTTCGAGCAGGATTGACACGTCATTATTGGTGCAATGTCTTTATAGGTGGATTACAGTAATTAGAATTTAAGCTCTTAACCAAAAAACTAAATTCTTTTTACATACCTCCTTCATAATGAATTTGACCAGAACCACAATTAGGATTTAAGCACCAGTAGAAATCATCTATTTGCGAAAGTGCCAACGCAAGTAACAATTTCTGATATCTTTTTAAATTTTATAATTATTCGAATTAATATTTATCCCTTTTAAATTTTTAAAATAGGTTTTCGCCGAAAAAGCTCACCTTTCAAAGATCGTTTCACTGGACAATTTTTTGACCTGATCACCAGTCATAACACTTCTGCAATCTTCATCTGGGCATCTAATTTCAACGTTTCCTTTATTTTGCAACTCGTGTTCAATATGTCTCGCGGCACACTCTTGACAAATATTGTCCTCATGCTGACAATCGATCGAAATTTGAATCAATTGTGTCATATCAAAAGTCTCTGTGCATATGATGCATTCTTTCTTTTGTGGTGATGAAGTTAATGCAGAACTCCGCGAAGATGAAACTGAAGTTGTACTTTGTGAAGACGAAGCTAAAGCAGAACTTTTCGAAGATATAGCTGAATTTGTACTTCGTGAAGGGCGAGTCGGACTTAATGAAGTTAAATCAGAACTCCGTGAAGATGAAGTTGTACTTTTTGAAAATGAAGTTAAAGTTGGATTTCGTAATGGAAGAAGAGAAGTTGAATTTTCTGGAGACGAATCTAAAACAGAACTCCGTGAAAGTGAAGATGAAACCGAAGTTGAACAATTGCCTGTTACAGTATCATTGTCATTGACAAGCGGAAAAAACATACGAAGGTATTCATCATCTAAGCTCTCTTCCTTCTCGTTGCTGTCTGTTACAGTATTATTATCGTTATCATTGACATGTGACAGGAACATACAAGGATATTCATCCAAGTTCTCTTCATTCTTGTTATTGCCTGTTACAGTAAAAAGTGGAAAATGCAGACGATGATCTTCATTTATGCTCATTATTTCGAGTTATTTGAATTTGAAAGTAAAGGATGAAAAAATAAATTTTCAGATAATCTTTTTTTCTAATTTCTTTTGCAATTTATGTCGTTAGGATTTCGGGGGGTTATCGTTATGCTCTGATAAATGTGTCAGTATGATTTTTTCCAAAAATACTGAGGAAAATATATTTGTGATGATAGTATGGCGCGCGAAAAATTACATGCCGATTACGAACTTTGATATCGTATTCGGTGTTAACCGTAGTTTGTTTATCATCGTTGTGCCACATGAAAAATAACAAGACGTCATTTATCAAGCTATAAATGGATATAGAAACATGTTCTTTTAACATAACAATACAACAATAACGACAAACTAACCTTCTATACATTAAAATCATCATTAAAAATCATCATTATTATCAATTTTTAAGCACATAAGTGAAATCAATACGTACTAGTGATTGCAGTTGAATACGTACCGACTGTCAAAAAACCAGAACTGTTTATATTATCACAACGAATTGATGACCTAGTAAAAATATAAGAATGCGCGAAAATTACCAAGGTTGAGTATCTTGCAGATTGTTCTATAACGATATGTGAAATACGATCTGAAGGACACACTGATGTTGGTCGAAATCATTACATTATTCAAAGCAAATTACGTTCGAGTTTATAAATGAGGCCATTTCTAAAGTGTAGGCAAGATCCTTCAAGTCTTTCGGATTCTAGTAAAAAACGAATACGTACTCATTATCATTATGCAAAAAATGGATGGCGATCTACGCACATACAGTACATGTACATGAACACGTATCGATATGTACGTATTGTTGCATACGAATTATCGAAATTATTATCGTTATTAATCTAAATACATGTACATGTACATGTACATCGACATTTACGTGCAATTCACTAGAAGATTTGTGCATCGTGATATCATCATCCTGGGATATTAATGAAGTGTGTATTTTATAGTCAAGTTGGAATTGCCGAGTTTGGGCTCCAGCTAATATAAAAAATCTTATCGAGAAATATACAGAGTTCTTTATGTTAGTCCATGGAAAGTCATGCAGATGTTTATAGTTATATACCATTCGGTGAGCGAAATCATAATGGAGATCTCGTATTAGAAACCTATAAGTGAGTGTGACCAATGATGCCAGATAATGTTTCATGGTGCAATTTTATTACGTTATTAAAATGTTGAGTTCCTGTTCCAGAAAATAGACTAAATGTTGAGGAACTTGGAGACTTTATCAGCTATATCTACTATTCAGCAGACAATAACAACTTGAGTGTTACAGCTCTTTAGAGGATAAAGAACTAAAAAGTGTCTTGAACTAGAAAGACGAACATTAAAAGTTGATGAGGAAAGCACTCACAAATATAAAAGAATTCACAACAAAAAATTGATTTCAATTCCGAAGTACATGTACTGCATAAACCAAATTTGTTTCCAATATAAACCCGCCTCAATGAACAGAAGATGGTTCAGGAACACCTGCCTCGTTTACCGCGCTTATATCGAATATTAGGGTCTACCCGTGTTAGTTTTATACTTTCATGAACACCGAGTTTCGACGGATAAAAAATCTAAAACATCAAATATGAAGAAACTATAAATCTGGATATTGGCGCTATGGAAAAAAAGTCTTTATAAAATCAATAATCATGAATTTTAGTTGTACTTCCTCCGGTATAATGAAAGTGATGGATATTAAAACGACATTTTCTCTGAAAAGCCTTATTCAGATTTTACTCTAAAATCTTTTATCCATTACCACCAGCCGAATGGTTACCGAATCAACTAATAGATTGGATTGAAGTCTACAAATACAATTTGTTTTAGATTTCTCTCTTGTATCGATATTTGATTACAGAAGGCAAAGCAAGAATCAGCAATTTCTGTTTAAGTCCTAACTACACCCCTACAATATATTACCGGAAATTTCAAAAATGAATTTGTCACTTTGGAACCCCGATATCTCGACATCCAGTGATCCCATTCGAAGATACAGTAGCTCACTTAAGAAATGGAACGCGGAAAAAAAATTGGTGAAATATGAATATCTCGCCATTGAAGAATTACGTGGAAACAAAAGTATGAATTATATTCGTTAAAATAATGCACATCAACTAATGCAAATTTTAGTTTCATCTATCATTTCCTTTATACCCATTTTTTTTATAGCGTTCCGCGTAATACGACCGACTTGTATAAATAATTAGAAACAGCAAAGATAAGTATAAAAGCTCTTTATTACTTTAAATTCTAAATAACAATTCTAACCACATTTATTTGAAAAATGTCTCGAATCTCAAGAAAAACGCTCACGAATATTCACATTATGAGAAGAAGGTTATTCAATACGGGAAATCACTGCTTCAGAGCAGGTGGGCCTTGCATCAGTCCTACAAATTTGCAAAAAAAAAAGAAAGAAACTGGAACCTTTGATGATCTAGAAAAAACTGGTCGTCCATGTCTTCTAACCGAAAGATATGCTGTCCGGTTGTTAATGATTGAACTGTGCTCTACTGCTGTAGAGGTCAAAATCAAACTTAAATCTGACCTTGGGATTGACATTTCCGTAGAGAGCGTCGGCGAATATTCCGGAGAAATGGTCTATCCTCAAAAACTAAACACAAAAAGCTGATACTCAAAAAGACGCACCGAAAACGACGGCTTGCTTGGGCAAAGAAATACTGAGATTTTACAGTTGACGATTGGAGATTGGTTCTCTGGTCCGATGAAAGCAAGTTCCAGCTTTTTGGGTCGGATGGCTGTAAATACTGCTGGGTGAAGACTAATGAGCAACTAAATCAATGCCAAATCATTCCTACAATGAAGTTTGGTGGAGACGCTATAGTGGATGCCGAAGGGATGGGGTAACTCAAAAAAATCGACGTAAAATGAATGCTGACATTTACGTTGATATTTTAAATGAGAATCTATTTAAGTTCACTATCAGCAAAAGGGCCGAGTAAAGAAGAAATCTTTTACCAGCAAGATAATGATCCTAAACATATGTTGAAAAAAGTGTGTTTGGTTTCTTGATAATGGAATAGATTTGCTTGATTGGCCAGCTCAATCAAAAATCTTTGGAATGATATTGACCGGCGGTTGCAGCAACTTCCTGGCCCACTTTCAAGCAAAGATGATTGTGGACAAAACTCCAGATCATGAGGAATGGCATCGAAGCAGACTTCTGTGAACGGTTAGTTTCTTCAATGCCAAAAAGGGTGAATGCTGTTATAAAGGCAAAGGGTGGTTGTACGAAATGGTAATATAATATTGTAGTTCATTAGTTAGTATTTTTTTTTAGCTTGATAATAGTTCAATAAAAAGAATTCTTCCTTTAAATATCGTCCTCGAAATCGGGCAATTTACGCAGAACGATAAAAAAGTTGGTTAATTTTTGTTTAAGTAACTTCTACAAAAAAATTTTTAATTCACTTGTTTTCGCGTAATTCTTCAATTGCGAGATATTCGTATCTCGCCAATTTTTTTTCCGTGTTCCATTTCTTAAGTGAGCTACTGTATATTAGAATCGCGCTCAATTTAGTGATATCTTACCTTGAATTTGATTACCGATTCGAATCGGTAAATCGAAGTATAATTGCAAATTAAAAAAAAGCTTCTTAGACATACGACAAAACCCAATCATGCCAAACGAGCATTACTGAATGAACAAAGATATCATAGGAAGTTACGGTAGTTTGGCGCCAATGATACTCGCAAGCCTTTTTGGCCTATATTTTGTTGGTTGTGTAAAGAAAGTAAAGACATAATTTCTTTTAATTAATATATTTCGGATTACTGACCAAATTGAATGAATGAATAAATATTGAAGAATTGAAATCAATGTAGTTATCTCCTAGATGTCAACCGTCGACCAAATCAACATCTTCTCAAGATACGGAGCACCAAAAAAGGCTAACTTCGCAAACACGATAAAAATCATCATTAATTTCATACAAATTAATCTCCAAGTAATATATAAATTGTAAAAACCATTAAGAATTCTTCCGTGCAATAATTCCTTTTGTGAAATTGAGATTTGTAAAACCTTTTTTACGGTTAGAACCTTTGATCATCGTTAACGGAATGCGTTTTATTGTTGAATAATTAAGGCTTTTAGATAGAAAAAAGCAAACGATTGGAAGTTAATTTTGAAGACAGTAGATAGAAAACATATATAACCCCAAACCACCCTACCTCTGTACCCCTCCCGACCGATTATAACGAACGATATCCGCACAGGAATTAGATACCTATTGTTGCAGGTGAATTCGTCAATTTCGCCTCGTTACAATCTACCCGTAACATTCTTGGTATCCACTCATAAACCATAACAACGAAGACAATTACCTTCTCAACTGCTATTTAATCCAATAAATCACTCGTAAAACGGAAACAAGTAACGAAGAACGAAGGAAGTTCCGAAAAAGACAGAAGTCAAAATCGAGAATTAGAAGACAAAGGAAACAACGAAATAGCAGACAACATGAACGAACTTGTTCAAGCCCTGGCTGAACTTACCAATACCATGAACGTAGGATTGGCTCAACGACTAGAAAAGATTCTTATACCAATCAAGAAGTTTCGAGGTGAAAACCAGGATCCGGTCGAGTGGCTCCATGATTTTGAAATTGCCGCCCGGGCAAATGGAATCATCGACGAAAGAAAATCCAGATCATTCGAGGATATCTATACTCAAACCTCGTTATAGTGAAGACATCGGGGTAAAGGAAAAAATCTCTATAGCTTATATCGAGAGAATATTACTATATCGAGTTGAAGTTTATTAATGATTCTAAAAAAATTCTCCATTATATCGAGAGATTCATTATATCGAGAGTTCACTATATCGAGAGTGAATTGTAGAAAAAACCGCCGCCGCCTGGTTCGATCAAAGGAATACCGACAAATCAACAAAACAACGACCATGACTTCAAGCAACGATTTACCCTTAAAGTTCCGGACGAATAAGAAGGTAGAACAACAGCAAGAATTAGAGGACGGAACCGTAGAAGATACTAATCGGTTCGTACAACTCCTAACCGTTACCCGGTGGACTATAAAACGCGCACCTATAAACGAGGTCAGAAAATGGGTATTACCATCAGTCAACACCCGCCATCGATTAACACCCTAAACCAGACACTCCAGAATTTAGTAAGCAAGTTGGGATAGGTGGAGACTGTTAGAAAACGACTTACCCGTCAAGAACATATGATCGGAAACCGATTAATTTGTTACCGATGTGCTGTTGATGCCTCTGCGACGATGATGGTGGTGGTGGTGTCAATGACGCCAAAGTGTTAGTTTGCTGTTGCTGTCTCTGCGGCAGTGATGATGATGATGGTGGTGTCTTCGACGACGCCAAAGAGTTAGCTTGCTGCGGTTGCTGTTTCTGCGGTGATGATGATGATGGTGGCGTCGTCGTCGACAAAGAATTAGTTTGCTGCTTCTGCGGTGTTCGCCACATCGAGGCTAAAGTTTGCTGCTTCTTTTGTGGTGGTGGTGGTGGTGGTGATGATGATGATGATTTGACAGGGCTTTAAATTTGAATTTTTTACTTCGTGGACCCGTATGCACTCCATCTCCGACTGTGTTGAGAAATTTATTTGCTTGAATGACGGAGGAGAAATGGAGGAATCCACATCTAAAAAAGGAAAAATTAGCCTTCTTATAACAATTATAGTAGAAGAAAACCTGACAGTTCGTTTTGCGATGTTCGTCGGGTATGAACGAGCCCACAGTTATAATAGCTCTCGTTTCAATCCAAGTGATGATTTCTTTATTGGAGACTTTAGATATCACTATAGTTTGCACCGCTGAAAAAAAACGAGTAACGTTCCGTGTCATTTCCGCAACAAATATGAGTTTTACCTACATTTTAATAAGGAAATCAAACATAGAAATTAAGCCTTCTGATCAAGAAGGAAATTAAGCCTTCTGCGTGAGCAAGAAGGAAATCAAGTATAGGAAATTGAGCCTTCTGCGTGAGCAAGAAGGAAATCAAAGAAAATAAAGCCTTCTGCGTGAGCAAGAAGGAAGTAAAGCGAAGGAAATGAAGTCTTCTGCAAGGAAATCGAAACTTAGAGAGGAAATTGAAACTTGGCAAGGAAATCGAAAAAGGAAAGAACTACGAACTCCTTATTGTTGTCATTTTTGATATCGTCATAAACGAAAGAAACTCTTTTTATATTTCCACTATCACTGCCATGCTAGATTTAAAATTATCTCATCGATTGTTGAATTCTTCACACGAGTTGTCGTTGATTCATTCATTAAGTAAACTCTAACTGTGATTTACTACTAGATTAGGGGGATGGCTAAAGCCAGGTACATCACGTGATATGCGACTATATAATTAAAGTTTAATTTTAAGCTTAGGATCAGGGTCAAGGCTAGAGTTGAGATCAAGATTATATATAAAATCGCCTCCCCGACATTTTTTTGTTAATATACCAAGATAGATTTAAGCATCTGTTTTCCGTTATGTTTCATATTTTGTTCACGTTTCGGATTTGTTTTAAAGGGCTGATCAAAAATTTACGCATTCTTATTGGTTTGTATTTCGGACTGATTATCGGATGTACCCGACCACTTTTCTCGAACCAAATTTCAAATTTCCTAATTTGGGTTTTACCTCTGATATAAGCCACAAGCCATAGATTGATTCCTAATTTGGATAAATGATGCGGCATAAATAAAAGCGGGACAGTTCGTCGATATTGTCAAATGTCGGTGCGAATCAACAATATACATGTACATGTAATACATGAATTTTATTGTACTTAAATTAAATTTTAAATTTCATAATCGACATCGATGACAGAAATTTTTTTAGTATGGAGCTGAATGCTTCTTCAAGTTCATTTTCTTGTCATTAGTTTTTCTTCACGCTATTCTAATAATTATTTCTTCAGATGCACTGCTAAACTTGAAGAAGCATTCAGCTCCGTACTAAAAAAATTTTTGTCATCAGTGTTGATTATGAAATTTAAAATTTAATTTAAGTACAATAAACATTTTAACAAAAAAAAATAATTCATGCATTACATGTATATTGTTAATTCGCACTAATGTTTGACAATATCATCCATTGCTGGTCGAGCGCTACAAACTGTCCCACTTTTATTTATGTCATGTCATTTATCCAAATTAGAGGGATCACTAAAGCAAGGCAAGCTGTTTAGCCATATACCAGCCACATTTTATCACTATAACATGACTTATCACGTAAAATTTTGATCTAAAAACTTGATTGGTTCATCGTAATTGTCATTAGAATTCTCATCAATGAATGAACACATAAAATACTCTGGGTCTAAATCAATTTTAGCAAGGGTAAACACTTGTGTACCCTGGAAGTATTGTGTATGATAATGGGTACATAACAAGGAGAGTACACAATGATAAGAAGGAAAGAGGGATATCATATATTTAGAAAGAATTAACTAGCACTTTTAAAAAAGAGAAATATATATTCGACTCATATACTTTTTCAAGTTAATTATAATTGTTGCAAGTTTGTTCACTAATCGTTAAATTAGTTTACAAATGAGAACCTGGATTGGGAGAAGATATAAACTGATAAAGAAAATATTAAGAGAGAAGAGGGATATCTAAGGTCTATACCAATTTCTATGGAAATTATGTTTTTTTGAAAAGAAATAATAATATGGGAGAGTTATAAGAGAGTAAAAGTCAAAGAGGAGAGAGAATAAAGAAATAATAAAGAAATTTGAAAGAGTGATTCTATACTTGCGTAAAGCTTTTAAGGTAATATAATTAGTAATAACAATAACAAAGACTCTTTCACTTTGTTCTTCTCACGAGTGAGGAATATTCATTAACAATTAAAAATTTAAAATAACAAAAAGTAAAAATACTTATAATCCAATTTCAATATAATGATTGTTCAGCACAATATGATATAAAGCTCAATAATCCAATAATAGTGATTTGTTCAGCACAATATGATATAAAGTCCAAAGTCAATAACAGCAATTTGCTCAGCACAATATGATATAAAGCTGTCAGCGATTTAATAAGTTTAATATAATATAAGACCACTTATACACAAGATTTGAAGTGTATAAAGAAAATATAAGAGGTGGGAAGTATTTGGAGGCTCAGATAGCATCTCTATTTATACATTTTTTAGAAATTACAAAAAGTAAAATAAATAACTATAAAAATATATAAAAGTAAAATAACTAGTTATAAAAGTGAAAAGTAAAAAGTGAAATTTCGAAAAAGTGAAAAATAAAAAATGAAAAATTAAAAAGTGAAATAACTAAAAGTGAAAAAATATATATAAAAGTGAAAAATAAAAAGTGAAAAATTGAAAAAGTGAAATAATAAAATTGAAAAAATGAAATAATAAAAGTGAAATAATATATATAAAAGTAAAAATAAAAAGTGAAATAATTAAAAAGTGAAAAATAAAAGTGAAAAATAAAAAGTGAAACATCAAAAAAGTGAAATAATATATATAAAAGTGAAAAATAAAAAGTGAAATTTTTGAAAAGTGAAAAATAAAGTGAAAAATAAAAAGTGAAATAATAAAAAGTGAAATAATGAAAAGTGAAATAATACTAAAAGATTTTATCGTTATATTAATATTTTTGAAATTTTCATGTTTTTTGATTATTTTTTTTTGAATTTGCGATTTTTATGTTACTATTATTACAATAATAATATATGGATTAAATAATTAGTTTTTTTTTAGTTTTAATAAATTCAAATTCATATTAAGATATAATAAATCTGGGTTTGAATCAATTTTTTTAATACAATGTTATGATACATACCTGGATATAATATATGGAAGATTTTTTACTGAGAGGGTATTTTATATAATAATATATGATATACAAGTGCAATAGATTGAAATAATTAATCAAAATATAAGAAACTAATAAACTATAAAATTATTTTTTAAGAGAACATTTAATTGTTATAAATGTGACTCTATTTCTTTATATATATACTTTTTACATGCAAATATGATAAATCACTATAAGTAATTCATCTTCTATTATCTATTCTCACTGTTTATATATAGTAATCTGTAAAAGTATCCAACTATCTATAACTTGGATCAAAGATAAAATAATTCTTTTTTCTTTTTTTATTTTAAAATATATAATATTTTCTGATAACTAATAATATATCATATAATCACTCTTTGCTTCAACTACTGCCTCAATCTGATTTTTCATATTATCAACTAATTTGGTAGCAAGATCATCAGGTAAGCAATTTCATTCTTTTATTAATTCACTTTTTAATCCTTTAAGTATTCTAATTTTTTTTGATATTTTAATTTTTATTAATCTCTAAATATTCTTAATAGAATTTTGGCTGAATAACATCGATGACCAGGAGAGTATCTCAACATTATTTTTCTTCTTCTAACTATTAACCAATTTCAATCGATGTTTCAGATCGTTATCTTCCTGCAAAATTCATTCTATATAATCCTCTCCAAAAAGCTTAACGGATAATAAAAGACCCCTCTGTAATCATAAATTTAGCATTAAGATTATGCTAAAAATAAACCAACTTATCAAAATTTGAAGCTAAAAAACAGTCATATACATTAATTTATAACAGATGTTTTACAAAATGAAATAATTTTCTTTTTACCAGAAACTGCCAGACCTTTCTTTACATGTTGATTTAATTGAAATATACTCTAATCTGAAAAATTACTTTGTTTCAATTAAAATTTATATAATTTTTCGTTCACTATAGCTATTTTTTCTTATAGGAACTAATAAGTAAAGATTTTGATAATTTGCTTATATATCTGTCATTATTTTTATGTAAATGTTATTCAATAGTATTTACACTAATGTTTATTTTTTGTTTTTTATTTTTTGTTGTATTTTAATTGCAATTATATTAGTATTCTTTGTTTTCTTTCACCTTTAATAAACATATTTTACTGTATCTAAGATTTAGTATTAGATCTTTAGGATATATATATAAAAAAATAATTTTATCATTTGTCGATTGAGATATTGTTTATGAATAAATATTTAATGAACATACAATGCTTAATATAGAAATTTTAAAAAATGTAAATAATCAGTATTTGCATTGTTTTTTGTATTCAGAAAATCTTCAGATATTAAATACGATCTATAAAAAGTTAGAGATGATTGAATACTTTTGCGAGTTACTGTAATTATCAATTCCAAGTCACTACTTTTTCTAATAGAATATTTATATTATTTGAATCATTAAATTACTAACTCCTTTCATTTGTTAGCAATAATAGATAATCATATCACTTTGTGTTATTGTTATTATATTATTATTAAAAGTGCATTATTAAAATTTTTATGAGTAATTATTATTCTCATATATATTGTTACAAGTTTGTTCACTAATCGTTAAATTAGCTTACAAATGAGAATCTGAATTGAAAGAGGATATAAACTGATAAAGAAAATATTAAGAGAGAAAAGATATATCTAAGACCTATGCCAATTTCTACAGAAATTATGTTTACTTGAAAAGAAATAATAATATGGGAGAGTTATGGGAGAGTAAAGATCAAAGGGAAGAGAGAATAAAGAAATAATAAAGGAGATTTGGAGGGGAATTTTATACTAACGTAAAGCTTTTTTTGAACTAAAGATAATATAATTAGTAATAACAATAACAAAGACTCTTTTACTTTGTTCTTCTCACAAGTAAGGAATATTCGTTAACAATTAAAAATTCAAATAACAAAAAGTAAAATACTTATAAATTCAATTTCAATAATTTCTAATACAGCGATTTGTTCAGCACAATACGATATAAAGCTCAATAATTCAATAATAGCAATTTGTTTGGCACAA